CAGCACTCCCTCCCCGCGGTGCCCGCGGTTGTCTCCCTTCTCCCGCTAGCGATGCTTACTGACGTGGTGTTTACGAATCTCTCTACTCCTCCAGCTTCGTGGGCCACGCTTTCCGGGATGTGGATTGCTATCCCGCAGGTCAGGATAGACACACTCAGGGCGGGGCATCCCATTTCCCATGCTATCACCACCTTTTGTACACTCGACGGGCCCAATGCATGATCACAGCTACGGAAAATACGGTTACATAGCAATTGGCATTCTTCGTCTAAGCCAGTGGAGCAAGATATCTATCCGTACCAATGAAAAATACGTCTCAACCAGCCGAACGACTTAAACCAGTACAAAAACTCTCGGAAAAGCTTACCGAGCCAGTCGGAGACTTTGCTGAGCCGCTACCCACACGTGGCACGCGGCCGCGAGGAAGACGTTGTTTGTCTCGTCGCCTTTCTTTCCCCCAGAGAATTGGGCCTTGGCGGCGCCGACGAAGGCGTAGCTGTACACGCAGAAGATGGCAGCGACGATCCCATTGGACAAACGCTCCCCCTTCACCGGCTCTCTTGGGTGCTTGCGTTTGTTGGACTTGACCTACCGATCCACGAGAAAAGGTCGGCAGAAAACGGAGAATCGGCCGCGGACGTTTGGACGGGAGATCAGCACCCATAACATTATACGGACACGTGCCGGGGAGCGGGGGTGATGATTACCGTTTATTTGTGCAAACGTCGAGCAACTCGACGAGGAGTAGGAGGGGGGGGGCACAACATCACACGAGAATCAATTGGCAGAGTGAAAATACAGTACGTGAGTACGACAAGAAAGCAGGCGTGCTAACCCCAACACGGGGTGAAGACACAACCACGAGAAGAATGGCGCGCCAAGATCAAAGACGCAAGAATAAGAAGAGAAAGATCAAGACTACGGAGACACTTACCAGCTGCTGGTGTAACTTCTGGTGAGAGGGTGCCACGGCGGACATGTGAATGCCGAGGAGGGCCGCCTTGGACACAAGCGAGATGTCCAGAGCAACCAGTGCCTGGTACAATGATTCGCCGCTCATATTCGAGGTGATGGTCACTGAGTTTACACGTCCGCCACCTCCTCCCGGCGTGTGTGAAGACCCTCCCCCGATCCGGGTGAAGCTGGGCGGGGCCGAAGATGAGTCAGCAGTTCCCCCCGTCGTGGCTGGTGCCGCCCCCTCGCGGGAGGCGTAGCCGACGGCACGCCCTCGGGAAGACGTAGAGCTGCCGCGTCCCTGGGACGAGAGATCCCCGGCGGCAGCCGAGGTGCTGAGGTCGGACGCACGGCGAGAAGAGCCGCCTTCCCCACCGTGTCCAGGCCGGTCCGTGCCGCCAGAGGTGGGACGCTGGCCCGTCGTAGCGGGGCGACCAGTCGTCGAAGCCGCGGAGGAAGCCGGGCGGGAAGCAGCGGAGCTCGGCGCTGACTGTGTACGAGCAACAGCTTGACGAGGACGGTGGTGAGAAGCCCCGCCCCCGCCGCGAGAGGACGACCCACCCACCCCGGGGTAGATGAGCGCCGAGCGCCGCCGAGCATGCCGCTGGCGCGAGATGTGGCCTCGGCGTCGCCCGCGGCGCTGTCCTTGGTGATCGGGCGAGGGCTGTCGTCCACGAAGCGCATCGGCGGGCCCGGCTTCCTCCGCTTGGGCTTGGCCCGGAGGTCGGGGCTCGGCGAGTCGCCGCTGGTGTCCAGCGTGCACTCATCGTCGCTGTCTGTGTCCGCCTGGCAGTCGGAGGGGTGGAACTCCGACGCGGAGTCCTCCAGGTCCGACTCCTACGAGAGCACGGGGTGAAAGGCGCGACAAGGTTGGGGGTGGTATAGCCGTAAGCAAACTGCGGAGAGAGAGGTGGAGAACCAAATCGCTAGCCACCTGTGTCGCAACCCCCACAAAAAGAAAAAAAACCGTGTTGGAAATGCGAGGCGTTTTTTCTGGTTCGGGATTTTGGGTCTTCACGTCCCCTCCCAATTAAAAAAGAGCTCGTGCCCTGTACATGCCAACAACTGATGCTCGTCACACACAGAACTGGGTGCAACGAAAAGAGCAGGGGCCCTCAGGATACTTATTACCTTTGTGCGCAAGCAATTTCTATTCCGTAATTTGTCTTTGGCAAGGAGAGCTGCTGTGTGAGCGGTGCTGCACAAACACGGGAGATGCTCTATTTTCGAGCGCAATTTTGTAGCTTCGTCAAGCAATTTCAATCGACTGACACGGGTTGGAGAGAGCACCAAAACGCTTCAAACTCGGCGACCGTAGAGATATGTGTACAAGAAGGCACCCTGCTAGTCCGAATTTTGGATCTAACCTAGAGCGCTCAAACCGATCTTGCCTCTATGCTGCTCTGTGATCAAGACATCTGCAAAGCGCGTTCTCTTGTCTGCCTCCAAAAACATGAGAAATGGCTTCCGGATCTGGTCAAATCGCCAACTTCTGCCAGGAAACGCGGAGGCAATACTCAAACAAATGGCCCGCGGCACACTGCTGTTGGTAGTGTATCTCAAGACCCCCTTGCGCAGTCCGAATTTCGGATCGACACTACAGCAAGAGCTTTGGCGAAATAACTGCTTCTCCAGGTTTATAAGAAAGAAAATGGGGGGCCACGTGTGATCGATTCTTGAGGACAAAATAAAAGGAAAAAAAATAGTTTTTGTGTGGGTTGCAACACAGGTGCAGCTGCGCCAAGGTGTTGGTGCGAATAAACACACATGCGGTAAATGAGGCGTACAACACCCGCCCAAAACAGTCGGCTAGCTACTACGTGCTTTTGCCAGGCCCGCACGTCTCTCAAAACCAGGAAAACCTACTACGGGGGTCGGGGGATGGGCGCCGGGTGTGGTGGTGAGGCAGCGGCAACAAAAGAGAGGGCAACCCGCATACACCTACACTACATACATATGTATGCATCACACGAAAACGACAGGACGCTGGTTAAAAAGTGTTTGAAATTAGTGGTCAAATTTTCAGCCCCCCAACCTCTCCAAGGGCGCGTACATACTTGGAACCAAGCCTCTCTTTCGTAACCCCGCGGGACTTGCATCGATGAATCATATTTGAAACAACGAACCGGGGGGGCATTCGTTCACTCCGTTACAGAATGGTATGCATAGAGTTCGACTACTTGGTTTTCTGACACATGGTGCTGGTTTTGAAAACATCTCACATGCCAGCCATTTCTCTCGCGGTGCTGGACGGGATTTCGCGCGAAAGGACGCACAAACTTCGGGTGTGACTATGACGACACGCATCCATCTTCAGGCCGCCGACCAGACCAAGGACGAGGGGGGCGTTGCCACAGAAAGCTGGTGGCAAACGGTTTTGAAACTTCTTCACCAGTATGAAAAAAAAGAAAAGGTAACGGCTTTTCTGCGGCTTGAACCGTGGATCCCAAGCACTTGCATTGCGCTCGAGACCCGCAACAACACTAACAGAGAGGCCTTATGCGCCCCCCCCAAGCTAACCACTATCACATGTCTGTGCTACCGTCTGGTGGTGAGCATAAAGTACCACACCATAACACGTGTGTCGTCATCTTGTGCTGCTCGGTGTGCTTTGCGCCTGAGGCATTGCGAAGGAGGAGGTGGAGCTAGAGTAGGCAAAATACAAGATGAGGGTAAACACGTCGAATGAACACCTCGCGTATAGAACCTTATGCACATTCCCCGGATGCTGGGCGTTTCTCGACGAATCCTCATGAGTTCGCAATCAACGTCTTCTTGGTGCCGTCGAACGGACAGGATCGCACGGAGATAAGGTGCCCGACAGCACGTCCGACGTCGGGGCAGGGGACGATTTCGGTGGTGCGGGTGACGACTCACACAGCGCTGATGGAAGAGAAGATGAGGACATAGATAGGCGCCGACGGTGGACGCGACGAACTACTGGAGATGATCGAAGAGAATCTCGGGGTGAGCGGGGAAGGCACGGGCACGGACGACGAGGGTACCGTCGAAGACGGGGGAGACATGGACAGCGGGGGCGAGGAGGGTGACATCGGCTTAGACGATGAACGATCCGACGATTTCCAGGGTAACGTGGACAACAGAGGGACCGATGGGGCGCCTGGGGTAGTCCTGCCACGTGAGGTATTCCTGCCTCCTGCGCAAAGTGGTGGCGCATCATCTGCCCCCAGGATAAATAGGCTTCCCACGATGACGCCGTCTTATGCATCGAGTAAGACGGTGGAGGGGGGCGCCGAGAAAATTGAGAGAGAAGACAAAAGCCGGACGTTCTCCTTTCTACCCCTTTCGTACGAAGGAGCAACAACTAATTTTCGTGTGGCAGCATGTACATCGGATCTCGCAAAGGGCGTTGGGAGGGCTATTAGAAGTACTCTTGATGCAGTACGAGGGCGAACCGTTTGACGTACGTGGGCTCGCAGGCGTCGACCCCGAGCACTTCAATGATCGCATGCCGCCGTACTTGCCCCTGCTAGAGCTGCTGGAGCGGGACGTTCCGTCGACACACGACGGAACGAC